AAGTTCACTGCAGTTAGCTAAAGCAGGAGAAAGCCAAACCGTTTTTCATGACACCGTACGATGCACTGCAGAGGAACGGCATGCATGGATCTCGTCCACGAAGGAAGCCTCTGGAAGGAAGCTGGTGTCCTCATGTGGGCTACATGAGTGCTGCTGGTGATGGGGAGCTGCATCTCATTGATGTTATCACGAATCCAACAATGTCCTGTACACTGAAGGAGAAGATGCGGCCATCGCTCTGTGCGCTTGGTCGTCATGCACATTTCCAACACGCCAGTGATCCAAAGCACACATCTGAAGCTGCTGCTGCATTTCTGAGGAACAGGGTGAAGGTGATCGGATGGCCAAGTATGTCTCCTGATCTGAACATCACTCTCCATCCAGCATCCAGGCTCTAAAAGAGGTTATTCTTTAAGAATGGAAAAGGATCGCTCTTACAACATGTCGCCATCTTGTTCATTCCATGACTAGAAGACTTGGTACTGTCCTTGAAAATCATGGTGGTCATACAAAGTACTAGATGTGGTAGTTTTTGCTGCGAGGTGTAATCATTTTCGCTTCAATCAATTTGAGTAAAACGGAAGAATTTGTGATCTAAGTTATATTATTAACCTTAATTTCATGTTATGGAGTTATCCATCCATCCTTCCATGCTCAGCCACTGATCCAGAGTCGGGTCGCGGGGGCAGCAGCCTAAAGCCTGGTTTATGCTTCTCCGTCAGCTCCGCAAGGGACAGACACGCACGGATTGACGGAAGCGTTTTGCTCTCATACTTCTCCGTCTCCTGGGGAGTGTTGCAAAGCAATTGTCCGGCAGGACAGCAGAGGGCGTAGCGCTGTTCTGTGGTATCCTGTCATGTATCGGTACAAGATCGTGTGTTTGTGTTTTTTGTATATAAGAGATTTTTAACACGGACATATTTGTCTCTCATTCTCCTCCACCTCTTCATGCGTGCCCCACCTCTAAACCCACGTTTCCTGTCATTTCCATCCACAAATAAAATGCTTGCTGCGCATCTTTTCACTCCTCCAGTCACGGGAGGATAAAACGTTCATATTTTTAGAGTTTTTTCGCGAGGTATTCTTCAAGCTTCTCCATGTCTGCCGCTAGTTATCCTCGGCTCTCTTTGCAATGGCGGCGCTGTAAACAACAGCGGCGTCCTGACCAATCACAAGCTTGCGTAATCCGTCTCGTTCGACGGATGTTTAAAAAAGTGGGCTCGACTCCGTACGTACTTGCGTGCCCTACGCAAGGACGGATAATGGCGTTGCGTGTCTCCGCACTGACGCAGACGGAGAAGCATAAATCAGGCTTTAGCCGAGAGGCGCCGAGACTTCCCTCTCCCCATCTACCTGGCCCAGCACCTCCAGGGGAATCCCAAGGTGTTCCCTGACCAGTTGAAAGACATAGTCCCTCCAGTGTGTCCGCCTCACCCAGCGGAGAAAACTCATTTCGGCCGCTTGTATCCGTGATCTCGTTCTTTCGGTCACTACCCAAAGCTCGTGACCATAGGTGAGGGTAGGAACGTAGATCTACCGGTAAATCGAGAGCTTCGCCTTCTGACTCAGCTCTCTCTTCACCACGACAGACCGGTACAACGCCCGCATCACTGCAGATGCAGCACCAATCCGCCTATCGATCTCACGCTCCAGTTTTCCCTCACTCGTGAACAAGACCCCGAGATACTTAAACTCCTCCACTTGGGGCAGGACCTCCTCCCTGACCCGGAGAAGGCATTCTACCCTTTTCCGATTTAAAATGGAGTTAAACAAGTGTTCAACAAAACGCAGCCTTGGGAAAATTCTGGAAATTGTTATATAGACGGCTTTTGTACATCTCGTGGCCCTAACGTTGCTCTTTTGTAAATTCATTCCGTGTTTGTCTTCGTAATCCATTTTCTTGTTCTTTTTTGACACACTTTAGTAAAAATTAGTTGTTTTTTTGCCTGACACGTTTCAGCTAGTATCTCTAGCTGGTGATGGTGACATCACTTCCTTTAACCTGCAGGCAGCGGAGGATGCTGTCGCCCCCTACTGCCCACGCCCTCCTCGCTGGAGGCTTGGGGAGAAATTATGACAAGTCTCTAATTTTAGTAAAATAGTGCAGAGAGGAGACAACCCATAGAAGCACTGATCTGATCTCATTTCAGAGAAAAATAGAACAGGTCAGATGCACCTAATAAATAAAATTACTAACAAACTCAGGAATCTGTTTCTTTGCTTCACTGTTCTGGTGCTGAGAATATCACTAATGAGGATGTAGCGTTATTAAGATCCTACTGTCTGCCCTTAACAGCTGCCCCTTCACACAGTAACATCGCCAAGGTCGGACGCTTGGTTCAGTATGATTACATTCCAGGAGAAGAGACAGAAGAACAGAAGAACGCTTTCCATTAATTGATCAAAGTACTTTATTCGTAATAAAGCTAATCAGAGTATATGTTGATCATTAATAATCAGGTGAATGATCTGTGAAATAAAGATGTCATGAGTTATGTGTTTAATGAATAAACAGGACTGCACCAGACAGACTGATCTACATTACCATGGAAACGCATGACACATTGTTTTCAACCAATCAGAACTTTCGTCTGTCGTAGAGAGAATCTGGGTTGTTTAATGAAGTTGTCCAATCCGGTTTACTAGGATTTGTAAACAACTAGGGGATATAAAAGAAGGCAACGCCATTTTATACTCAGTTCCATTTTAACCTCAGTTCTGTTCGATCTGAGCTCCAAAGGAGTTACATCATACTCTCAACGTAGTTTTCAACCAGCTCTCGATCCATCACCGCAAAAGAGAGGTACAGCCTGGCCAGATGTACTTTCTACTTTAAGCTGAGAACTGTCAAGCTGGAGATTTCCGTCGTCTGAACAACAAGACGACGTTCCTTCAAAATAAGAGTGAACTTGCTGACGCCTGCCGACTGCTACCGGAGCCGACCCACAGACGGGCTGTGTAGTGCTGCGACCGCTGTTCCACCAGCTCCAGTACATCTGAAGGTCCGAGGACCTGGCATTTCCTGATCTACACGGGAGGCTCCACAGGGTACGTGGTTACGGCAAAATGGCGGCTCATGTCATCAGCTTCGGAAGCCTCGTGGTAGCCTAGTCATAACAACCAGATTCGCTACGCCAGCCTAGAGATTCTGAAAAACACCCACACACCAATACTATAACATTCAAATCCATATGCATCCATCACGGAGTTAGTCCTGGTAGATTGTAAGAATTTATAATTATAGAAATTAAAGATTCTTAAACGATCCCAACTCTCTCTCTTGTCTTGTCTCTCAGTCAATACAAAGTGTTTAAGTAAACTCCCTGATGATAAAAACAACCACTTCTGATGATAATACTTAGATCTAATTACAGTGTATAAATATACAAACTACAGATCACTACAGGATCAAAGGAGATACACAGATGAATGCACCTCTTATTTATTATTTGGAGACTACATTTACTGCAGCTGGCAGAGGCAGAGATTTTTTCTATTGATACACGGATTTTACAGAATCATTTTAAATGTTAATAGGGGAAGACTGCAGGAGGGAGCGGTAAAATACAGGGGGTCCCCAGCAAAAACAAGAACCTACAAGTCTGATGAAACCCGCTGGTTTTCCATCAGGCAGTCACGGGGCAGCTCCAACGACCCAGTGGCTGTGCTGGGTCAATGTTATCCAGCTCAGTCCGGCTCGGCAGAGGGTGAACGAGCCGAGGCGACGTCGTGCTCTGCTTAAGAAGTGTTATTTTCCCGCTTCAGAAGAAGCGTTTAACGTGTTTTTACGCTTTCTCCGAGACATGTCACGTCGCTAAGTTGTTAGCGTGTGGCGCTAACGCGTTAACAGTGCAGCGTAGCCTGCTGGAGGTTTTAAGGGTTCAGATGAAACACCCGACCTCTCAGGCTGCTCACACATCGATCTTAAGTTGTCGCTGTTGCGCTCACGCCGTAATACAGTATTAGATGCGGTTAAAGTCAGACATGAAAGAATAAATACATTTTACATGAATAAGTGATGCTTAGCCTGGTGGGGGGAGGAGAACCTGGCCTAATAAGCACTGGAGGAAACCCTGTCAAGATCGTCAACACTCATTTATCTTACTGCTATTGAAACATGTAAACCACAAAGCATTATATCCACTGCTACCTTTCTAATTTTAGACTCAGTAACTTATGCTGTAACTTCACCTTGGCCTGCCTGCTCCTCCTCGCTGCCCGCCGGCTGTGATCACAAGCGACAACATAGTAGTTCCCGCTGCTTCTTCGAGAAACGGCGCCAAAAAACAAACAAACTTGTAGGCGTGGCGGTGGGATTTCAGCCGTGGCGGCCCGCCACGGCTACGCCTATGTAAGGGAAACCCTGGGGCGACACCGTCATCTGCTGTCTGCAGATAAAAGGAAGTGATGCCACCATCACCGGCGACCTCTGAGGAAGCATGGCTAGAGCTGCTAGCTGAAACATGTCAGGTAATAATCTGGTTTATACGAAACTGTAAAATAAAACAACAAAGTCATGAATAAAGGCTTTATTGCTGCTGAAAATTTTTGAGGAGGGGTTTGGTTAATCCTACGGTCGATGAAAAGTGCTTAATAAGTAAATTAGATTTTTTTTAAATATTTTTTTTTCACAGTAAATTTCAATGTAATGATTTAGTCCCAAAGTTACATAATTTCTTTTTATTCAGTATAGCTATAACATTATTATTGTTGTTATTACTATTATTATTATAACTATCATTATTATTACTGTAATTATTATTATTATTATTATTACTATCATCATTATTATTGCTATTATTATTTTTTTAAGCCTCACTCATTCACCTTCATGAAAACAAAGGTGATTTCATGTATTCATTTCATTGTTTATTTCTGTAAAATGATTAGTCTACTGGAGGTTTTGTCCAGCAGGGGGCGGTGTGGTCTGTTGAGTCAGATCCGAGGGGGCGGGCGGTGTGTGTGTGTGTGTGTGTGTGTGTGTGTGTGTGTGTGTGTGTGTGAGAGAGAGAGAGAAAGCTCATTTTCTGCTCTTCGCTGAACACAAAGCAACCTCTCGCTGCTCATCCCTTCATTGGTGCGAGGATGGAGCTGCTGTGGGGCCACAGAATCTTTGTTCCGCTGATCTCAGGTAAGATTTAGTTAAAGACGTATTAAATATGAAATATTATCTCCATCTGTTGCATTGAGATCAGCTGGTGTTTTAACCAGAACCTGGTTCTGGTTCTGGTTCTGGCTGTGTTTAGCACCAGGAGCAGGTTTCTTTTCAGCTGTTGTGAATTCATTAGAATAACAAACCGAAGGCTGACGACAGAAGGAAAGAGAGACAGTCCTTCATTTATTCTGTTCTCCTTGATCGTTGCTGATCATAACTAAATATCAGTTTATCAGAAGATTAAATCAGCGGGTCACCCTGAAAGGTCAGAGGTCAGGAGACGGTTCTGATTCTCTTCACACATTTTCATGTTTGTTTACCCGAAACAGCTGACTGATCCATCATCCTCACCAAATCTATTGGACACAAACAGATTTTCCCCTTCAACGGCAAATTCTTGAGGTTGTAACTGGATGTTTTTAACTTCTGGAGAGTTTTTAAATATTTTTATCTAAACTAGATGGAGAAATCTTATAAAAAAAGAGGGATTTAGGTCTGGGTAACCCTGTGATGCACCTCCTGCCGGCTTTCCTCTGCTGTTTGTTTTCTGCTGGTTTAGACGAGAGTCCACGTCCGAGCGACTGGTGTAGACATTCAGAGCAGCAGCTGTGTGGAGAAGGACGAGTCACCGTGTCTGTAGTTCAGGATCATGTTTACATGGAAACGACTGGAGAGGCACCGTAAACGTTTTCACTAGAGTTGTTCGAAGCATCGGCGTTACAGCAGGACTTCAGCACGAGGGTCTGCTCTGGAAGACAGGTGGAGACGTGTGTGAAGATGTGTGTGAAGCAGAGTGGAGTGGCTGGAGAAAGTGTCGGGTGGGATGTGAAAAATGGGTTTCAACAAGAATGACAGGAAAGGTGCAGAAGACAGTGGTGACAGCAGCATAACTAAAGGGATGAGCCAGGAAACCCTAGCTCGATCGGGTTTCTGCCTCATGCGGGAACATGGAAGCCAGTTCCACCAGAGGAGAGCTTGAGAACTGATAGCTCGACTTCTTCTCCTTCTAGAACCTCTAGGAACCAAACCTGCCGTCTGAAAGCCAGGAGCTTTGCTGGAGCATCTGGACAAGAAGTTCTCTTATAGGAGAAGAATGTGTTCTTTCAGAAGTTCAAAGAAACATTTCAGATGAAGTTCTTGAGCTTCCACGGAGCCAAAAAAGTCTTGCTAAATCTGGAGAATCTAATCTCTCACCAGAACCCAGGTGGCAGCTTCTGGATCCGGTCTAACTGGGCCTTTGGAACATCCTCATCATGGAGCGTTACAACAATCCGGTTTAGGTGGACGGGTTTTTCCAGAAGGTCAGGATGGTGCTGATCATCACACAGATGATAAGGAAGATGTCCTTGTGACACGTTCATGTGTGAGTTCAAGGTCCTGGTCCTGATGAACACCAAGGTCCAAAACCCACAACCGGTCTGGTCTGATGGTAAAAGTAGAAACGCCCTCAGGTCTTTTACAGGTCACAGGTCACAGGTCACAGGTCTGGGTGGCAAATATGCCCGAGTATCCCAGACATGAAAGTCCCTCACCTCTCGGCAAAATTCCCTGTAATATATATATATATATATATGTATATATATATATGTATATATATATATACATATATATATATACATATATATATATATATATGTATATATATATATATATGTATATATATATATATATGTATATATATATATATATATATATATATATATATATATATATATATATGTATAATACTATCTGGCAGTAAGTAGCTCTGAGTAACTTTAGCTATAATCATTTAAAAACTGTGAAATCTCTTTAAAATGTAAATCAAATTCAAGAAATAATTAACATTTAACCAGTTTATCAGTTTTCACATAAAATTTCTACTGAATTTCCACAACAGAATGATAATAAAAGTAATGTTTTTAGATCAATTTCTGTTCATTTTTAATAAATGTTCCGCTAACATCAACATCCCACTGAAACAAATAACCACACTCTTGCAAATGTTCTTCTTACTTTAGAAATAAAACTGTGTTTCTTCTAAAATGACAACAAATCTGTAAAAATGTGAGATAAAAACTTCGCCCTCTTAGATCTCTGAAGGAAGTCGGATCTAATCTTTCTCTGACTTCTGAGACGAGGCTTTTGTTCGACCTTCAGCGTCTCAGTGAAGTGTTGAACCAACAACCCATCTGTGTTATGATCCTGGGTTTTAGCATGGACCTGGCTAATTACTGGGAAACCTGCTTTTGACCTAAGTGGTTTTTGATCTGAGATTTTCGGCACCGTTTCGTACCAGACTCACCTTTTCCACCCGTGACCCGTTTTCATGTCATCAGCACAGGAACAGAAATGTGTCCTCTTGATCCGACCGCTAATATTTTTATGTTTAATGTTTTCTTTGTTTGTTTGTTTGTTTGTTTGGACACACAACACCAAATGTAAGAAACAATCTTTCATCAAGATAAAAACCACGAGGCACTCCACAAGAACAAATATTCAAAATATAAAAAAGATTATTAACAAATACTAAAATGAGGAAAAACTATTAAAAATTGTGATTCACAACTGTGAGGGAAGGAATAGGAAAGTGAGAAATGAGTGGATCCCGGGAAGGGTGGATATGGTAGAAAGAGCAGAATAGGGAGAGGGTGGTGATGAAGGTCACACCAAAGCCAGCTTGAAATGTCTGATAAAGAAGGCACAACAACAGCTGATCTTCCTGAAGGCATCAGGAAGATCAACCTGCTGCTGGGGTCTTGTCACTGCTCCGTAGAGAGCGTCCTGACCACCGGCATCCTGGTGTGGTACAGCAGCAGCTCTGCAGCCGACAGGAAGGCCCTGCAGAGAGGAATCAAAGCTGCAGAGAAAACACCCTAAAGGACCCAACCCACCCTGCTAACCATCTCTTCAGACTTCTTCTGTCTGTTAAATGATGCGGGGCAATAAAAGCCCCACCAGGCTGGAAAACGGCTTTTATACAAGAGCATCACTGATGTTGCTGCTGGGAGGTCTCACTAGCAGTGGTCCTGCTGGACAGTTTATGTTTATGTTTATTTATTTAGCAGACGCTTTTATCCAAAGCGACTTACAATTTATAACCTATAGGGCGTGTTGTGGTCTGTGGGGGAAAACAGAAAAAAAAAAAAAAAAGAAAGGCCACAGCCGAGCCAAGTTTCAAACCTGCAACCTTCGTGCTGCGAGGCAACAGTGCTAACCACTGCGCCACCGTGCAGCCATGGACAGGACAGTTGGTGCTCTACAGCAGCGTTACGTGAAGCTAGCTCACCCTGTTATGTTTACATTTATATTATGTTCACTTTATATTTTAGTTTGTAGTTTAGACTCGTCTGTTACCATGGTTACATCCATACTTTACTTAGCTGCACATTAAACTGGCTGTGTGTGTGTGTGTGTGTGTGTGTGTGTATGGTTATGTGTGTGTGTGTGTGTGGTTATGGGTGTGCGCGCATGTGTGTATGGTTATGTGTGTGTGTGTGTGTGTGTGTGTGTGTGTGTGTGCGTATGGTTATGGGTGTGCGTGCGTGTGTGTATGGTTATGTGTGTGTGTGTGTGTGTGTGTATGGTTATGTGTGTGTGTGTGTGTGTGGTTATGGGTGTGCGCGCATGTGTGTATGGTTATGTGTGTGTGTGTATGTGTGTGTGTGTGTGTATGGTTATGTGTGTGTGTGTGTGTGGTTATGGGTGTGCGCGCATGTGTGTATGGTTATGTGTGTGTGTGTGTGTGCGTATGGTTATGGGTGTGCGTGTGTATGGTTATGTGTGTGTGTGTGTGTGTGTGTGTATGGTTATGTGTGTGTGTGTGTGTGGTTATGGGTGTGCGCGCATGTGTGTATGGTTATGTGTGTGTGTGTGTGTGTGTG